ATAGCTTATTCATTAATAGTCTTGTTGTAGTTCCTTTAATAAACAGTTTTTATTAGGTTATGGGATGCCAGTTTATTAATACCGATTTATACCTTGCGCTTGTCTTAGAATTATTCAAGCTGAGATTTAATTTACCATAACTAACCGTGCCCTTTTCAAAAACCTACTTAATGACATGTTTGAAGGCAGGTGTACACATATGCTTATTTCTTATACTGGGCAAAATGAGATTACCTTTACTTTCCACCCCTTGGAAATCTGGTTCAGAAATCATAGCCACATTATAAGGTGCAAATCTTTGAGATCCCTTTTGGCCATAGATATTTATTATAATGAAAGGTGTCAGTGCACTAAACAATAGTAGTTCCTATGATAGGTAAGAGATTCAATCCTTTGCAACTAGCATGATCTTGTATTTTGGCCATTGTATTGGGAATTTCTCAAGTGATTTGAAGAAAATGTGAACGGGAAAAATTTCTCACTATTAAAATGATAGTGATAGCAATAACTAAATGAGGAAAAATATGAAAATTCTCTTTTATATTCTTTCCTATTAATCACTCTGTGTAAACTTGACTGTTTATTCAACTTCAATATACAATTATTTGCTTGTCTGAAAAATAGAACTGCAGCAGAACTTTTAGAAATAGCTTGGTAGAAAATTCCCTTCACACAAAGGATAGTGACAAAAGTATAGAGCCAATTCACCATAGTCATGTAATTTAGATGTTTTATGGCTCAAATTCTCAAGTTTCTCCAAGTTGAAACTTTCAAGAATACATTTAATGTAATGTTTATGAGTTTTGCTTTTAATCTTACTCAAAACTTTTGTCATTTTGTACTTATGGACCAAGAAAGACCCATAAGTCTCAATTTGATGTTATCTAAATGTTACAGAATTTTAAAGACTTGGTCAGCATCATAAGCAAGGAAACAAGTGTAAATATCACTGAACAATTCTACTGAAGATTCATGGAGTTAAAACAGAGGGTGAACTGTATATAAATGAGCTCAGTGGCAATTACATTGTTTTTATTTGCAGTAGTTATGATGATTAATGAACCACTGTTTTAGGCCTCAGTATCTTACTTTTTTTTTTTTTTTGCCAAGATAAAGGACTCTCTTTTTCAATACAAAGAACATTTGTTCAGTTTCCTGAAACTATAACAATTCAGAGAATTGGCAGAGAGAGCCATATATCCCCAAGTGTATAAATGTATTATCTGGTGAATTCTGCTAAATGGCAACAAGAACGCACCTGAACCTAGCTCTGCCCTCTGGGCTTATAAGGGTTGTCTCTGCTAGAGGAAACCATGGCTCCACATGAAATAGGTTTCTCCTTTTCCTGTCAACTAAAGAGCTGGACCTTTTTTTTAGTTTTTTTCTGTTTTGTTTTGTTTTGGGTTTTTTTTAGGTGAATTTATCCAGAGACACTTGGGTAATTTGGCCCAATAAAAATCTATTTTTAAAAAATCAATGTTCAAAATATTTAACAACTGTAAACCCCAGGCATTAATCATTCAGAAAAACACTGACCATACAAAGGATAGGATGGCCCTGCTGGCCAATGCAACTCAATAGCATCCGTGTTTAACAGCCCAGTTCACTGCCTCAGCCTAAGTAAGAATGGATTGGATTACTGTGATCTTGTTGCCAACTCTTTTTCATGTAGAAATAAAATGTTTCAAGATAAGAAAAATTCATGTGAACGAATATTATTGTTATATTTTTTGGTATCAACTGATAAGAAATTAATAATTCTGGTGTACCTCTGGAGTTCGGTTATCCATTCCTATTAACCCCTGAAACTTCAACGACTGTTGCCATGCTGGATATAAGGACACAATGTAGATGTCGCCCATCATTTTGAAATATGCCATCATTCTGTCTTGTTGGAATCAAGAATAGATCTAAAATTTTTAAGTGCAAAACAAATGGCAAATTTTATCGCCTGAATACATTGCTATATGTAGCCCATTCTTAACTGACATTGGCAGAGACCTTTAGATTTGTAAATGCTAAATTCTAATTCTCAAAACCTCAGTAAATTCCTGAAACTAATCAGCTAGTACAGTTTCTGAAAGCTTTGTCAGTCTTCACTGATATTTAGATTCACAATTGGACAAACATTTCAAAGAAACATCAATCCAACTAAAAGAAATCATAACATGTTAACTATTTTTTTGTAAGATGGTGGGAAATTTTGAACTATGGGATGCAGTTCTATAATACATAACAGTTCACCTTTCGGAAAAAAAATTATATGTACAAATGAGAGTTGTATGTATAGATTATTACAAAGAATTGTTTTATTCAGTCACTCATTATTGTATTTGTTAATTCACCTTTAATGTGTAATTATTTACTGAGTCAGCCTAATATGTTTCAGATACCAGACTAGTTCATGATGTAAACCTCATAAATTTTTGATAATTCTACTGTAACTAAAATAATATTACACATAATGTGACTTCTAATTTTTACATTCTTCTTATTGGTCTTAGAGAAAATACAAATATTTAATAATGATTGTGTATAACTGAAATGAATCAGATATATCAGATAAAATATAGTTTGAGTGAAAAGATATAAAAATTCTTTGTATGATTATAGGCATGTTTTTGTTTTTTCATTTTTGTTTTTGTTTATCTGCTTGCTTTTTTCACATGAGATGCAGAATTATGTAGTAATTTAGAGTTCGAGTGAACTGCCTGCATTCAGATCTCAGCTCTGTCCCTTTTATGCTGTGTGACTATCAGTATGTTGCTTAACCTCTCTGAGACTTAAATCCTTCAACTATGAAATGGGGATTATAATATTATCTACCTCAAAAGGTTACTATAAGTATTAAGTGGTTTAACATATATAAAGTCCTTACAAAACTGAGATACATTAAGTATTATTATATGTAGGGTGTCCCCCCAAAATGTATATACACACTTTGAATAATTAGAAATGCAATGCTTATTAAAATACATTTCATTTTCAGAATTGAGCAATCAGCTGTTAAAGTGTGTGTATTGTTCTGTATATATTAGCACATTATGTGGTTAGTATGAAAAAAAATCTTATCGTGCAAGAGTGCTTATGTTGGGTCATCCAGGTCTATCTGTTAGTAGCTCTTTAACTCTGAGCAAAGTTATTTATGTGAGCCTTAGTTTCCTCATATATAAAGTGAAAATGTTCATTTTATCTACCTCTTGAGCTTTATTGAATTAACACACATGAAATGGATAGCACAATACTTGGCCCACAGTCAGCTATCAAAAAATGTTAGCTATGACTTTTTAAAAAATTATTTCATTATATATATATACTGAAGGCCCAGTGCACAAAATTTGCCCCAGCAGGGGCCTCCCTTCACACCTGCCTTGGCCCGACACAATCCTGCTGTTATCAGGGCCCATTGTGGCTGGCAGCGCCTTCACTGCCGCTGGCTGTTAGCACCACATCACCAATGCCCGTCATGTTCTGCGCTGCCCCTGGTGGTCAGTGTATGTCTAACTCCCGGTCAGTTGAACTCCTGCCTGTAGGGGCAATTTGCATATTAGCCTTTTATTATATAGGACTTGATGCCCGGTGCATGAATTTGTGCACAGGTGGGGTCCCTCAGCCTGGTTGGTTGGTGATCTGCCAGGGGGAGGGATCACGGGAGGTGGGACAGTGGGAGGTTGTCCGGCTGGTGGGAAAGGCCACGGGAGTTTGGCCAGCCACAGGAGGTTGGCTGTGGGAATGCACTGACCACCAGGGGGCAGCTCCTGCATTGAGCGTCTGCTCCCTGGTGGTCAGTGCATGTCATAGCGACCAGTTGTTTGGTTGTAATGATCACTTACGCATTTACATATAGATAGATAATGGGGATAGTAATATTATTATAACCAATGAATGTACCTATGAAGACAACTAACATTTTAGTTTGATCCAAAAGTGTATTTTTCTTTGTTAACTATTCAATACTTTATAAATTAAATCACACTATTTATAAATAATAAAATTTGAATAAAATTAGCTGAGGATTTAGTTTCTTATTTGCATCCTTGCCTGACCTTGGTGGCAAATTCCAAGGCAAGTTTTGCTTTTTTTTTTTCAATCTAAGTAACTAAGTTTGTCATATAATTTGATAAATAATATATAAAAATGTATTGGATTAACTTTCCAATTAATTTTTAAACTATTTTCAGAACACCTTTGTAAGAAATTTCTCTTTCAGTGATTTCTGTTGACTTTCCATATTTTTAAAAGAGTTTAACAAGTATAAACACACTGTTAGAATGAAATTCTAACCTGGGGGGAAAATCACTTTTTATAATGGTGATTGTCAGTGAATCTTACCATTGTTGATCTTAAAAACAGAATAGCCAGTTATTTTACCAACAAAAAAGTGGGCTTATTCAGGAAAACAGCGAATTGCAATTTGGGACAAGCATTCTCTAACAAAAACTATAGGCAATCCAGCAGAAAAGGAGAGGGACATTACTGCATAAAAAAAAAAAGAAGGAAACTCAGGGGGTGCTTTCAGTGGAAGAAAGTGAGAATTCAGGGAGGTAATGGTTTCTAGTTGGCTGAGTTGTGAGGTTCCCCACCCCCTGGGCTTGTGTCTGGGCCTGGAGAACTCTTCCTTCCTGCTGCTGCAGTAGTTGAGACACTTCTTGATGGGAATGCAATGTACCTTTCTTCCTGTTGGGGTCTGTAATTGAGGCTTCTTCCTGTTGAGGTTTGCAATTGACATGGAGTGGTAGTATGTGAGAGCGCCTCCCTTTGGCCTCCCTAAGTTAATTAAAAAAGAGATTTCCTTTATTCACTCTCACACCACTAAATATTCAATTGGCTCATTTCATAATTTTCACAAAAAGTCTCAGAATTCTCAAAGACTAATAGGAGGGCATGTGAGGGTCACAAGGAAATATTTTCTGGCTCACTGTTGACATTGATGGACAACTTGGAAAATACTGCTATGAATATGCTACATTGTAATTGTTGTTTATTATTTTTCTTATTAGGAATCTTTCACTGAAGTTAACAAAAGACAGTGATCAGGAAGGCAGGTGTTCACATATTAGCCGAATGCCCAGTAGTCCATCTGCAGACTGGCCCCTGCAAGGTGTGGAAGAAAATGGAGGCATAGATTCTCTGCCCTTCAGACTGATGTTACAGGACTGCACAGCTGTCAAGACACTATTGTTAAAGATGAAGAGAGTTCTTCAAGAGGTAATGGTTTACTCTAAGAGTAATGTCTTTTGGTGCTAGTATACAGACAGACCTGGTTAGTCCCCACTTCTGTCACAAATTAACTGCATTACACAGGGCAGGGATCAAGTGTTTGAAGCTCTGCTCTAGACATACTCATCAGATCTAAAATTTTAATATTCTGTGAAGGAATTTAAAAAAGTAATTGATACCCAGTAAAGAGAAATAGGCATCAGCTGCTATGCTTATATGCTATGATAAAGCTAATGAGACACATTAAATGGATTTCACTTTAAACATACTGAGGCTTTATTTATCTATATATATATAAAAGTCAAGTGACCAGAACACCAGAACGACCGATCACTTTGACACACACTGAGGTCCACTAACTGGTCCAATCAGGGGGTGGCCCCTCCCTTAGCTGCCCTGGCCTGATTGGGGGCGGCACCAGCTGGCCAACCTCCCGTGGCCCCTTCCCCTTGCTGGCTTGGCTGGATCAGTCCCCATCAGGGCAGGCTGGCCGGACCCCACCCGTGCACTAATTCATGCACCAGGCCTCTAGTATAACAATGACAATTTAGTCATTTAGTTGCAATGAAAATCAGTCCGGTAAAATGTAATCTGAATGTTTGATTTTATCCTGTTGAATATAGTTGTCTTCCCACAGCCTATGCTCATTTAGATGATAAACTGCTCAGGAAAATGCATAATGCATTCTTTCACCTTTCTGTCCAGGAGTCAGCTATGCTTTAGATTCAAGTGTCTTACGGTTTTAGTTTTATAATTACCCCAATTATTTTCTTTGAGGGATTTTTTAAAATACATACATTCAAATTCAAGACAACAGTCTGAGGTTTCTGATTTCAAATTCAGTGGATTTTTGTTATATCCCATGATCGTTCACTTGTTTCTCCTTATTGATAGGAAGTACTAATAAGTAATTTGAAAAGAGAAATTAATCATATTGTGGCTAACTTTACAATGATGATCATTGATAATTGCTTTTCTAACACTGATAATAATAAGAATGCTAGCAGCTACCACTAGAGGCCAGAATGGAATCAGGAAGAGAGAAGGATATTTAATGAAAATGATTTCCACAGATTATTGAGGACATTCAGTCATGTGTTCTTTTCAGCCCTTGAAGCAAAAATTGGAATTCTCTACATCCCATACCTGTGACTATGTAGCTAGGCGGTCTTACAATATATGCAGTAGTATGTAGGAATGCTGTGCTGATACTGGATCACTGTTAGCATTTAAGGAAGTTTAAGAGCTGGTGGTTAAGCACAGGCATAAAAAAATTAAATTACCTACATGTGTAACAAAAGAAATTATATTTTTAACAGCATAATCAAAACTCAAAACTCATTTTCTAGTTATTGTACTATATTTTACTGTTAACTATACTTGTGAGCTTATTTATATCTATTGGATTTATTTGTAGAAATCCTATATAATAGCTATGATGCATATTTCCCAATTGTAGATTCATTTAGGTCATTTTGGTAGCATGAAATCAGCCAAATAGAAGTATTGTGCCACAGAAGTCGGCAAACACTGTAAATTAGTGCTTTTAATTTTTGGTGAGCATTTTGTAAAATATTTGCCAACACACTGCTCTCTGAATGAATATTGTTTCTGTATTGACAACAAAAGCATTTGCTGCACTTGTGGAATCTCTCTGACATTTGGCTTAATGTATAATCTGAACCTCTTTGAACAAGGCAAACTTAACAATGGCGGTAGTATTAAGAGATATTAATCTTTAAGATATTAATCTCAAAGTCAGTAACATTCAACTATTCAGCTTCTTCTCTCTCTGGTCACATATTTTAATTTAGAAAATTCATGCAAGTAAAGGGGAGTAGAAGAGTTGTCATCTGGGAGAGTCACAATGCTTTCTTAGGGTACTTAATTTTATAGTTTAAAGCTATTTAGTGATATTCACCGTAAAGTCAATGTTCAGAATATGTTGAGGTTGTTTTTATACTTTTATCCATTTTATACTTGTCTGTTATTCTTCATGAAACCGTGTTTGAAGAAACTGAAGAAAATTGATTTTTGAAGCTGATGTACAATGAGCAATAATTACATCTATTTATTAAGCCTCTTCAGAGAGCAGGGAGTCTTAAATTCTTTATGGTCAACAAGAAAAGAAATATTGTGGTCAGCATAGTCAAGTGCTGTAGTAATAAGATGTTCATAATGATGTCTTTAAAGGAAATGGTTTATTGAAATGATTTTTTTTATTTAAACCAGAAATTTTCAAGTGGCAATTCACATTTCATTACTATGTTTGAGTTTAATACCAGCTATCCATTTTAAATTAACAATACTTTTTAATATAGAACAATAATGTTTATTCCTATTTTGTGAACTTATCTTTTTAAATTTATTTTTATTGTTGACACTATTATAGATGTCCCCTCCCCGTTTCCCCCTCCCTCAGCCCAGCTCCTCTCAGTTCTGTGTCCACCCCTCACCTGGTTTTTACCATAGTGTTGTCTGTGACCATGGACAATGAACTTATTTTTTATGATCCATAGTAGTCTGACTTTTGTATACAGATTATTTTTTAACTGCAGAACTCAGTTATTTGATTTTTAAGATAAAAAAGTGATTAATGAGTTTAATATAGCCTGCTAGAAAATGTTCTTATTGGAAATTTTTCCTAATGGAGCTCAGGTGACATCTCAGATTTTAATTTTAAGGTGAGTCAAATGTGAATAATCTGAATAGAATCTCATACTCCTAATTTTGCCCTTCCCCTTCTTTGAGGATCAGTTGCTATTATTAAAATGCATAGAAGAATTCCCAACTTCCCCAAACATCAGCTCCTTTATTTAAAAACAAACAATAACAAAAACAAACTGACTTTGGTCCCACAGAAATTCTACTGTTACTTTATTCTTTACTATTCATGATAAAAGAAGTGACTACAGCAGAAGAGACATTTTTTCTTCTTTTGTTAATGTTTTTAAATGTGATTCCGTTATCTATAAAAGAAGAGGATATCTACTGTACAGAGCTAGTTTCTGTTGTTTCCTTTTAGTTTGTACTGTTCTTTTATAACCTAGTCTCAGAAGTAACATAACATCACTTTTGTAAAATTTATTTATTGGTGACAACAGCAACCTTGATTCAGCAGGGGAGGCACTTTGCAGAGATTTGGCTATCAGGAGGTGGGAACATTGTAGAACATCTGGAAGCTGGCTTCCACATTTACTCCCTGACCCCCAATGATGCATCTCTCACAATGCAAAGTATACTTACCCTCTCCTAATGCCACCCAAAGAATCATTCCATTCCCAGGGGTGGGGGACCTTTTTTCTGCAAGGGCCATTTGGAGAATATATATATATTCCTGCTAGAAAATGCTTTTATTGGAAATTTTTGGAGATATAAGACCAAATGATTTCTTGGGCCTTATATGGTCCATGGGCTGGATAGTCCCCATCTATGCATTACTGCATCAGCTGAAAGTACAGAATTTTACCATGTAAATCATGTGCAGATGTAGATGAGGCTTAAGTACAATGACTCAAGTACAGTCCTTCATTTGAAGACTGTGAATTAATTCATAGGTTAGCAGTTTCTTGATTAGGACTTAAAGCCTGAGAATAATTCTCCATGGCTTTCAATTCCTCCCTCTGTACTGAAGGTTCTACCTCCTACTCATTCTTTATTTTCATGTAAACTTAGCACATGATTACAGCTGAATAGTTTTCTCATCCTTATTTGTGCTCGTAGACATACTCTAAAGGCCTCTTTTAATTTTGTAATTTCTTTTTCCACTTAAGTCTAAAGTACAGTGTGTTTCTCTAAATCTAATTCACTTAAATTATTTTGGGATCTCTCAACCTTATCAGGAATTCACTCTATCAGACAAAAGCCATATAGGAATTCACTCTATCAGACAAAAGCTATACCCGCCCATATCTTCAAGATAAGACCTTCTTAACTTGAAATAGCTGAGAGACAACCCTTTAAGATTTTATAATTTTAATTGTCTGTTGAGAGTATTTGTGAGACATATCCTTAAACCTCAATTAAGGCACTTAAAAAAAATATTTATTGATTTCAGAGAAGATGGGAGAGGGAGAGAGCTATAGAAACATCAATGATGAGACAGAATCACTGATCGGCTGCCTCCTGCACGCCCCCTATTGGGGCTCAAGCCAGCAACTCAGACTGGAATCAAACTCGGAACCCTTCAGTCCACCGGCTGATGCTCTATCCACTGAGCCAAACCAGCTAGGGCTAAATGCACTTTTTGACTGAACTCAGTGCTCTGCAGCACTTTTCATCTTTCAGACTAGCTCTGCATATTCTAAATTAATTTCTAAGTTCATAAAATATGTATATCTGGATTGGTGTTGTGGTTGCATAGGTTTCCATTTTTAATAAAGCTCATCAAATTATACGCTTAACATAACAGCACGTGGAATATCATTACATAACTGATAGCATCACTGTTAATGGTGTCATTCTGTGGAATTTTTGTTCTTCCCCTGGGAGACCTGTACTAGTAAATGAAATCTGACCATTTATCATGCAGACCAACTTAGGATGGTGGTGTGAATTCTTACTAATTGTTGTTAGAACTTTCCCCCTCCCCCCCCATTTTTAAGTTAAAAAATTTTAACTGTGCGCCATTGTCTTCATACATGACAATGGGTCCCATTGCATACACTCTGAAGAAACTTGTGGCCTTATATTTACTGAGAATGAGTAGGTTTCTGAATAAGAATATTCTGCCTACATACAGCCTGGCTCTTTGTGAGGGAATAGAACTGATCTTGAGAATAGATAGGAAGGGAAGGGAGTATAATTCAATGACTCTTTTGCTATGTAAGCAACCTTAACTTTCAACAGTGCTCTGGGAGAGATGAGAGAAGTCAGAGAAAAATTATTTCCTAAAGCCAGCCCCATTTCACTCATGGAGTCCCACTGGAGGAAGTATATTAGAGTAACAGAAATCACAGGTGTTTGGAATGATGAAGATTTAGATGTGA